GATATCCAAAGACAGCTACCAAGATGAGCACTTCCAAGCTTTCCTTATTTCACGTTGATATTCCACTGCTTATGACCAGCAATCCACTTGGGGCATTTTGGACTGGAGTAGCTGGCCTTAACCCTCGAGTTCAGAAGTTCAACAATTGGCGCAAACTTGACGCAACGGGGAGTTTTATACTGATTAATTGAAGCTCCTAAGATGAGGGCATAGTCCATAAGCTTATCAAATGTGCCAGCCTCCACAATCTTGATCTCAAGAGGGCCGATTGACTTGTCAGAAACACGACCCTGGCGGTAGACACTGTTGAGCGACTCCTCAACGGCCAGGCAACAGTCCTCAAAAACTGAAGGAGGAATTGGGGTCGAGCCATTCAGGCTAAGCTCCCAGAAAAGAACATAATGTCCAGGAATTGTAGTGGTATCAGCATAGCTAGTGTAATCTGTCACCTGGGCATCAAACGGGACCAAATGGCTCTCAGCATTTTTCACTGCATTTTGTAGCTCAACCTCATCAGTCTTATCAGCATCAATGCTTAAGACCACATTCTTGCGGCATATGAAGTTGAATTGAGGGGCCTTGTTCTTGAATCCAGCAACCCTTAGTACATCTCCCACTCTATAGCGATAAAGGCCTGAAAGATTGACCACCCACCCAAAAAAGGAAGGGAAAAAAAAAAAAAAAAGGTTAGCACAGGATTGCCATTTTTGAAAACGGACATACAGGCTTGAGAGTATTTTAACCATAGTCTTATTAGGATTAAAATATGAACAGAATATTACCTGCATAAGTGGTGACAACAAGCTCGTACTCCTGTCCAAGCTTAACATCAGCGAGATCAACCAATTCCTGTTTCTCCTTCCCATTGAGGGATTTCGGCATGGAAATACAATTTGTAACGCCATTGTTTCTATCAACCGGCAAGAATTCGAAATATCCCAGGGTGGGAATGAGGGTATAGGAAACTTCGCTTGGCTTGCAAAGAGGGTTGAGATTGACACCAAAAAAGCACTCTGAAGAAGCATACATGGTGCACACAAGAGGTAGGCCATTGCTATAGTAATCCAGAGTTGGTATGTACTGTGACATGGTCCCAGTCACGATAACATCGATATACTTGGTGTTTGGCCACAACCTAGTAATAATCCCTTGCCAAGACTCCATCCCACATTCCCCCTCAATGAATTCAGCAAGTTGTGGGTCAGGCTTTAGAATTTTCATCACTGCTTCCCTCACAGACGGGTCGGTAATTCGTGGGTTTAGAGTTCCAGTTCGGATATCATTGCACAAAAGTGACCAATGCTTTTCAAGAAAACGGATTGCTCGGATGAAACCCGAGGCAAAAACAGCACCAACCCGGAGGACCTCTTTGTTTAGGCACAACCCACAAAGCATTTGGGAAAACATGCTCTGATAAGAGTCAGGGCACAAGATGGTCTCGTTTGGGCTAGTGTAGTTCATGTAAGGGTCAAAAGACCTGTTCTTAAAGTGGGAACTTTTGTAGTAACTAGTTAAAACAGGACGAGCCACTAGCCCACCTGGGGTCTTAGCCTCAGATTTGATAAACAAGAAATACATTCCTTTGCCTCTCTCTAGTCCGGGAACAAATTGACTCATCACAGGCATCAGAAGATTGTAAAGCAATGATCTCCTTTCTAGTTCTTCCTCAGTTGTAGGCATCAATTTCCTCTCTCCACCAGATGTCCCAGAACTGTATAGAAAAAAGAAATTAGATACATATGTAATATATGTAATGATAAGAGGTAGATACTATAAGAGACAACTCTTTTTTTTTTTTTCAGAATAAAAGGAAAAAGAAAGAAAGGAATACTGGCAAAAAAGAATATGTTAAAGCACATGCAAGAAGAATGACACAAGTCACATGACCAAAAACAGTGCATTAGTTACAGAAAAGAAAAACAAACCTTGTCAAGAACTCGGAGATGGGCTGTGAACAGATGATTTGAGACTTGTCCCCATTAGCAATACGGTTAACATCAGGCTGAATATCCTCGTAAGTGGTGACAGGCATGATTTTCTTGAAAGTTTCTCTATCAGTCTGACCATTAAGGCCATGTCTTTTTAAGCACTCGACATGGGCATTCCTAGACAAGATTTCAGCAAGAACCCTTTTTTGGACCTCGTCAGCGTTAGCGGTGACTTCTTCAATAAACTGAAGAAATTTCTTGTTTTTCTCCTCAGCAACACTGTAGATAGTGTTAGTGTCGTGAGCATGAGCATAAGCCCCCTCATCTTTTGGTGCCTCAGGCATATTGATTGCTCTTGTGGTAGGAAAAGAAATACTGGCAAATTGGTGACAGAGAAAATAACTATGAAAGGAAGGAGGGAGGAGTGAGGGACGGAGGACAAGAGTTTCTACCTTTGCTGGCTGTTCCGGGTATGGGGTGTGTGGGGGAGAAGGGAAGAGAGGAGGGGGGTTTATATAGAGAAATGGCAACGGGAACGGGGTGATGTGGTCCACTTACATAGCGTTTAAAAGTGCAAAGGAAGAAAAAAAATGGAAAATGGCCAAATGGGAGGGGATGCGAGAGGACTGAGGAGGGAGGGGGAAAGGGGGAGGGCCGGGGGGAAGGGGTTAGGGTGGTGCTCGAATGCCTTTGATAGCGAGAGACTAACATGGGCCTTTGTGGCATTTGTGTTTTCCATTTCGGAACATTGCCTTTATGACTCACGAAGACGTGAAGCTTTCATGCTTCATATAATTTGTCTGTCACAATTCTAGCAGTCTACCAAGTAAGTAGTACCATTTTCTTGCTTTCTTGCATTTTCATTTAATGGCCGTAGTTGAGGTTAATTTCATTGAATCTCCTTGTTAATTTTGTCCATGGTGCTGCTAGACTAGTAAAGCAATTTCTAACCCTAAAAGTGAATTTTAAGCTATTTTTCTGGAAGGCGAATCACTTTTAAGCTATTTTAATCTATTATGCAATTTTTTTTTTTGTTTTTTATAACAACATCACCGAGAAAGACATTTCTATCCAACAACTGTCAAGCAGGACCTGATTGCTATTTGCTACCCATTTTTTCAGAAAATGAACAGTAGAATTTAGGCATATTAAGTCCGTCTCTATTAGCTAGGTACATTATGAGGATGAGTGATTGATGCATATGTGAGGCTCTACCGAATGGACTTGATTAAGCTCTATCGAAAGAATTGTTTGTGTAAGCAATTCAGTATTGATCGACTGACTATTGCTAGGAATTAAAATTAAGACAGCAAAACTGGTAGGTTTATAGTAACAACTACTTATATTGAATAAAGGCAGCTCTACAGTTTCTAATAGAAGGAAATTGGCTACCTAAGATGGTCATATTTCAGATATTCCAACCCTACTTTTAGAAATTTTTGTGTTTAACTTCATCACACGCCAATTTTTAGGAATCGTCATGAGCTCTACAGGTGTGATTATGAAGGCAGCTCATAATTCTATAATATAAAATGCCTTCTTCATGTTTCTTGGAAATTTAGAAAATTCTAAATTTTCCTTTTTAGAAAAAAAAAATTTTTTTGGCAAACACAAAAGGCTGCAACAAACTATTCTTTTGCCCGCTTTACCCAAATGGTTAAAAATGAAAAGGGTACGCTTTCCATGAGTTTTAAGCTTAAAATAAACACCCCGATAATCTTTAATAATTATGTGTATTTAATATATTTTATCACAAAAAGACTCGTCTTATTCTCTTTTTTTTTTTTTCCCCCTGTAATCTGATCTCGGAGGTGTCGTCAGAGTGGGGCACCAGCAGTCACTTTAGCAACAAAATTCCCCCACATCATAATCCTCCTCCTAATTTTGGCTTTGATACGCTAAGTCGCCAACTAACCGGTGACGGTGACCCCAAAATCGGAAGAATATGCCCTCAGGGGTCCGGTACCAGTAAACTGCCCCGTTACCATTCCCACATACACGTTAATTGATACTGCTATTGTAATCATTGAAGAACAGAGAGAGAGAGAGAGAGAGAGAGAGAGGGGGGGGGGGGTTTGTAAATTTCAGGTTACCAAAATAGTCATGAATTTAACTACAACTGCATGAGTAGTAAGCAAGTGCCTAAACAATTAAGAGAGAGATTATAGTTAACGGGAAATTTTTTTTTTTTTTTTTGTTTGGGGAAATTCTTGGCCGGTGTAATCCCGTACTGTAGCTTCATTAATAATTTCTGGCCAATTTAGCTCCTCCCGCATGAGACACATGTATCTCGTTCTTCTAATTGGCTTGTGATATTCTTGCACCATTAATTTTGATGCTAGAGTTCTCTCTCTCTCTCACTCTTTTTTATTCTAACTCAAAATGAAAAAATGACCTTTGTCACGTCAATTCGTCATAGTATATACCTATATTATATAAAAAAATTTGGAGGACTTATGATGTAACGTTGTTTTGTGATTTATCTGTTTTACCCTTACAATAAAAGGTAATAGGGTACAATCATATTTTAAAAAAATATCTTTTTTTTTGTTTTCAATTTTAAAATAGTAGTGTTGATTGCTATCTGCAGTTGTAAGAAGCTACCAATTAAATATCTATACATATTCAATTTCATCAAATTTGCTAAGGTATTAATTTTCTTGGTGCAAAACAAATTCCTACGAGAAAGTTTTACGAATAACTAGAAGTGGTACTCGCACTATGTAACCTAGCTTGCATTAGACTTGCCTCGCCTCGTCTTGCAAGCGGTTAAATGAATTCACCTTCTCTTCTCAAGGAAAATTTAAGGCCTGGTTGATGATTCGTAGCTTAGTAGACTAGATCTGAAAGAAGTTATTTAGTGAATAAGCTTAAGATGGTCAAACATTGGAGCATTTTACATTTGTTCTGAAACCTAGTAAGACATTTACATTTAACTGAAAGCATCTCAGAAAAGCACTTTTCTACTTCGACAAGCATGTTTCTCCTTATTCTTTATGAAATGGATGGATTATCACTATGCAGTTCTCCAGTAACTCTTTCTTAATGGTAAGAATTCTTTGTGCTAGTAACATACTCGTACTGCAATTCTGGCGTCAGCATCCTGTACCTACAAAATTTCATATGTTCAAATTTTGTGCTAATCCAGATTTTGTGCTTTTTTGACTGAACAGAGCACCCATGGATGAGAGAAGGAGAAGCATCAGACAAACCAATAGACAGTGCAGTCCTTTCCAGAATGAAGCAATTCAGAGCAATGAACAAACTCAAAAAATTGGCTCTGAAGGTATGATCACTATTCAAGAACTTGGATGTCAGCCCATAGTAGCATACGTTTAAAATAGACATGAATCAGAGTGACTGTTAAAACCATCATATATAAGCCCAATATCTTCTCTTTAGCTTGTAAATCTTATCAGTCACAGAACCTGGTTCAGTTGCTCCAGGAACACCAAGTTCCTAGAAGGATGTTGCAAAAAAGATAGATTGCAGGTAAAAGCTATCATAGAAGAGCCCAACTCTCTCATCAAGTTTGCTCAACTTACCTTCTGAGAAACCTGACTTTGGCATCAGAATGAGAGATATTGCTTAGTCTGCACCTTTCTGAACACCAGCTACGCCGAGTAATACATTGCCCATAACCATCAAACAAAGGGAGTTGGGAGGGGCCAACTATAGAAGCCTTTGTACTGATGAGACACCTCCCAGGTGATACTGAGCAACTCAGTATATGGGCACCATCGTTTAGTACCATATTCAGATTCCAGAAGACTTTCCGCTGCTGTGGGATTTCAGAAACTCAGTAGAAATGCTATTCCAGTGATCAAACTCTAAAACCTCCCAACTCACTCTAAGCAAATTACTAATGTGCCAATGCCAATGCACATTGTATATTCTGGCACATTCATCTTACAAACCAGAATTGATTGTTGGTTGATTTAAAATCATATTCCAGGTCATTGCAGAAAGTCTCTCTGCAGAAGAAATCCAAGGGCTGAAAGCAATGTTTCAAAATATGGACACTGACAACAGTGGCACAATCACATATGAAGAACTAAAGAGTGGACTTGCTCGACTTGGGTCAAAACTCACAGAGGCAGAAGTTAAACAGTTAATGGAAGCTGTAAGTTCAGTAGAGCTCTTCCTTCATGCTATGCTATAATATCCTGAAACTAATTGTTATTATGCCAACTTTCAGGCTGATGTTGATGGAAATGGACATAGACTACATTGAGTTCATTACTGCTACAATGCACAAGCACAAACTCGAAAGAGAAGAAAACCTTTATACAGCATTCCAGTATTTTGATAAAGATAATAGTGGGTGAGTTCCATGGTAAGATGCCATCTGAATTAGGCATCTCTCTTACAGTGTTGTTGATCCACTAAATATTGCAACTAACTTAACAGTCGTAAACCCATAATTTTCTTTCTATGCTGTTTTAGGTTCATTACGAGAGATGAGTTAGAAACTGCGATGAAAGATTATGGAATGGGTGACCCAGCCACCATAAAGGAGATAATATCTGAAGTGGATACAGATAATGTGAGTATTCTTCTTCCTTTGTTGCAGGTCTCTAAAGACTTGTCACCTTTTGATCATGTTTGTCCGCTCACTATGTACTCCATTTTTTATGCCGTCAATATTCCAGGATGGAAGAATCAATTATGAAGAGTTCTGCACAATGATGAGAAGCGGTACAAAACAGCCAAACAAGCTCTTCTAGTTCAAAGCTCCAAGAGCTTAAGCTCTATGACTCGGGGTTAAATCTTCTTCTCGGTTGGAAATTACATTACTAAGTCGAGCAGCAGCTGTCCAGCAGGCTTTCAGTTTGGAAATTTAAAGTATAGCATTTGTTTTGTGATTTGTTCCAGCTCAGTTGTTGCTCTTTCTGCTGTTTCCTCAGTATCTATCCAGCCTTTTTTAAACAACCTTCCTTTGGATGTCTGGAGGAGGGAGGGGAAAATCTGGATGTCTAAACCTCGCATTTAATCCCCTCTTCTTTTTTGATTTATTCTTTAAATGAAAAAAATGAAAATAGCCTTCCGTAACGCCGGTATGCATTTCGCATGGGGACCACGTTGTGCATTTTGCACACCGCGTAACTTTATTTGCACACGACGTAACTTTGTTTGCACAATGTGTAACTTTAGAATAAATTTTTGTGGGTCTCACACACGTCGTTAAAAACAAGTACAAGAAGTGATCTGAATCGTACAATTTTTTTGGACTAAATCCTGGTTGTACACTGTTTAGAAACGGTTCTTTCTGATGATGACCGTCCCTGCCCCGGCTCCTCTGCATGGGAAAGGCGGATCAGCAGCTCATTACTGTAAATCCATCCTCTCTCTATTACAATTTTTTGGACTAAATCTTGGCCACACTGTTCAGAAACGGTCCTTCTGGCCGTCCCTGCCCCGGCTCCTCTGCATGGGAAAGGCGGATCAGCTCATTACTGTAAATCCAGCCTCTCTCCATTACACTCTTGACTTGCAACCGCCTGTTAGCCATAAAAGCCATGGGTCAACAAGTTTCAGATGTCATGTGCTCTCGTCTGCAACTGCAAAAAAACCTCAACTGCCAAGAACAACAGATGCAAAAGGCAGTCTCAGCCAGGATGCGAGAACCACCTCTACAAACCAAGTTATCTTAATCTTGTCCACCAAACTCACTCTACCAAAATTCCTCCCAGCCAGCAAACATCCCCACAAATAAATGAACATCCTCCAGTGACGAGCGAACGCATGACGCATCTAACCGTAGTTCTATGTGATGTATTCTGAAGTCGTCACCAAACTTGAATGCCACGCAGATGACAGCTTAAGGCCACAAAGAGTATCTTAGATTTGGAAATCGGTTTAATCCAATATACTATCCCTCGATCTTTGAAGGAATCATCATATACCAATTAGAAATCAAAGCAACGATTTGACGCATTTACAATGACAATATTAAAAGATTAAAGCAAATACACAAGTAAATATATCAATTATACCTTTATTACTGAAAAATAAGAAGGTAGGCTTACAAACCGCTTTTAGTCCCATGACATTATCAAATGAAAGAGAACCAACACCAACTAACGCGAATGGTTCCCACTATCCACACAAACACTAACACGAATATAATAGGCAATCCTCAGATGCCACACACCAATGCAAAATACTGCTATACTATATATTATTTTCTTCAGACAAGATGATCATAATAATCCTTAAAAACCATGAATCTTGATCTGGTCTTTCTTGACAATTCCAGCAGTCACAAGGAACTGAGAAGCATTCTTGCGCTGATCACCTTGAAGTTGAATGACTTTGCCTAGCTCTTTGTCTTGCACCACATTCCCGTTGCAACAGAACTCTTTCTTAAGATCCTTGAGTATCTTCTCCAAGCTGAAATCTTTTTTCAGCCCCTGAATAGTTGTCAAGCACTTTTTACCATTCCTTTGTTGAACACGGATATGAACATACTCTTTGGCACCAGGGGCACCTGAGTCGTTATCCTCGGTGAATGGATCAAAAGCAGCTGGGATTTGGATGTCTAGATCAACCATGTATTTGTTGGATTGGAACTCGAAAACTTTCTGAGATCAGAAAGCGGAAATATCGGCACTAAAGCTGTAGACAAAGAACAAATATCTGTCAGCATCCAAGAACTTTACTTTGTGAATCAAAATGACAAAAAAGAAAGAAAGAGAAAGAAACTAAATCGGTACATCAGATTAATCATAAAAGCTCGCATAGCTCATAATTATAGTCCAAGAATGTAACTACAAATACAAAAGCAAGCCCCATATATCTTGATGTATATTAACAAATCCTTAACGACCCTAGTACCTCATGCTACCATGAACCCAACATCTTTTATCAACCTACCGATCAAATTCAAAAGGGTCACAGCCTATACTAACGTAGCAAAATCTCATCGTGGATTGAATTTCACAAACAAACCAGCACCTTCCCCACCAACTAAAAAAATTTTTCATGTATCAACAAGCGCAGCACCCACGGGCTACCATCAGGCCCCATAATAAAACTAAGAAAAGCATCGCATAGTCACGAAAAACAAAACAAAAAAAAAAAGGAAAATAACCTATAATTTTAAAATAAGGAGATCGAGTCTTCAATTAAAAGGAAAAAGAAGAAAAAAAGACCAACACTTTAACAACTGGAAGAGGGAAGCGGGCAGAAAACTAACCTCTTAAACGAAGACCCGCAAGAAAGCGAACGCGTATAAAAGACGTAGAAGAAATTATGGAAGGAGGACAAGGGCTGGGGTGGGTATTTATAGGGAGGAAGGAGGCGGTGGGAGACGGGTGGGTCTTCAATTTTGTAGCCACACGAACTTAATTGTGGTTGGGTTTAGCCGCCCTCATGCATCACTAGTTGTGCAATTAATGTGGATTTCCATTTATATCCAGATGCTTAACAAACCTTAGATGAAGGATCGACCAAAGTTAGCGAAGGGGAGTGGGAGGATATTAATATTATTAGGTCTGTGGGTGGCCGGCTGGGCAATTTGGGGAATTTGCAGCTACAGAGATCGCGTAGAATCAACGCACTGGAGCCAGCCGTGACGACAACGCAGAAAGAGATTTGTGGAAGTTGTTGAATGACGGTGGGGTACGTCTTTGTGTGGGCAACGCGTTGATTACGGGGTATTGATGCCTCATGGAAAGACTCCTGATTCATCATTGTTGCTGGGAAGGATCCAGATGGACCAGGACACCGCCCAGCCCACAACATCTTTGGCTTCATTTTCGGTCGAATCATAACTCTTACTGTTACTCTTATTTGAGAGGGAATTTCACCTCTCAATATGCATCCTTTATATATATATATATATATATAAAAAGGAGGGTCTAATTGAATTAAAAGAGGTCAAAAACAAGAGGACTTCACTACTAAACTAAAAATATACAACATGCACGTCCTCTAAAAGTTTAAAGGCAGAGGTTTAGAGATAAAAAGGCTTGTTTGAATAGTCATTTTTTGATGATCGAAAAATAGTCTTATTTTTCGTAAACACATTTTTTTAACTCACATATATCAAATCGCTACAATAGTTTTTCTTCCAATGAAAAATTTATAAAAAAATGCAATCCAAACACTCGTAACCAAATCTGCACCATATGCTTCAAGTGGTGGCTGACTCATCGAACGGGAAGTTTGCTCCGCAGCTTCTTTTGAACTCGGTGGATTTTCCGGTGTTGTTTCTTTCTGATGTACACCTGACCTGACAGACCATTTGGAGCAGCCATCCCATCATAATCCTATCCAATCCTGCTGTGCCCTTCTACCCTCTCCCTGTCTTTTCGACATATCCACAAGTCTTGGCACTCATCCGGCGGGGTTTTCTTTCTTTCTTTTTTTGTTTGGGTTACTGTTTGGCGACCTTCTTTACCCACTTGGGATTCTCGGTGACATGTTTTTATGCTAATTCAATGTATTGCGCAATACTATTGGTGACATTGGATTGGCATAAAAAACATGTCGCGCAATACTATTGATGGCATTGAATTGACATAGAAAACATGTCACCGAGGATCTCAAGTTTTCTTTACCAACTAATTCCAATCATCAGACTCATTTTTCCTCTCCATGTATGTGGTCGAGCTAGATTTTCAAAATGCGCCTAAAGTCGAGGAGAGCATAAACTGTTGTTTCGAACAGAAAGGGGAGAAATGAGTGCCTATCGAAGACAAAATATATTCATCTCCTCTTACCCCTTCCCTCCTTCTCTCTAGATTAGGCTAGATTTGATCATAGAACATCTATCGTTACAAAAAATTATTGGTTATATATATATTCATTTGCCACTCACGAATTGTGCAAAAAAAAAATATAATGGATATTTACTCTGATATTATTGGTTATAGTAACACAAGACAGAAGAAATACGACGATAAGCTCCGAATCCAGGAGGTAAAAGGTCAGGTGCTTCGGTTAAGGTCCATCTCCACTTGGTGAATGGTCCAACGCAAATTTTCCAATTTCTGCAACAGGACAGTCCAATTAAAGAGTTAACGAACAACTGGACAGAAACAATTTCCATGGTATATTCTGTTTAATTCCCACTTGCCTTGACTATCTCATGATATTGTCTGGCTATGGAATCGAAGTGTGGATCGACGCCTTGATATTCACGAAGGCGTGTAACCTGGAAGCATTAACAAAACAAGAAAACGTATCTTCCTTGCTCCACTCAAACTCAAAGACATGATTCGAGGGAAATCTTATAGCATCATGACCTATTTGATAGAGCAAGAATCTAAGCATAATTGGCTATACGAGCAATATCAGTGGCATGGACTTGCACACAAAAGCACATATTCTACAACCCCGACTTGAAAAACAGAATATACGAATGAATTATACCGCTTTATTATACGCAAGTGATGCTTCGTCTGCAGAATCGACCAGATACTTCCTGAACCAAAATGAAAGCAAAGAAAGAGAAATGTTAATCCTGCGGCATCAGCAGAATATTCACCGATAAAGTTGACTTTGTTTACCTTATCTTGTGAAGTGCGCCAATTGCTTCTGGAGTATAGGTGTCACACAACAGGACGTGTTCTAGAACTCTGAGAACAACATTTACGTAAGAATATTATATTCCTCCTATAGGCAAACAGCAGTAGACCATCTGTCTCAAAACAACTCAAGTTGGGTTGGGGAAGCCATTTAGTTATCAGAGAGCCCCATCATCACACTTCAAAGGCACCACCCTAACCCATTCGTGCACTATCTAGTGAAGGCATGCAGATGTCAAGTTGCGTTATTTGCCCCCCAGAAAGAGTATTCCTGATTTACTTTCTAAATACAGGTCATGAAAAGAAAAGAAAGCAATGGACTTTCACCACATCTTGAGCATCACAAAGGAGAGAGTTTATATCTGATAAGCAACAAACAACAAATCCAATTGCAAAACCTACATTTAAGAAAAGACCAACCAAAAGAAAAAATGAAGAGAGGGAATTAGATACAGATGGTTTAATAAACCCTAATTTTAAAGCAGCATTGATCCACATCGCTGGCAAAAGGAGAAAAGA